AGAGCAAAACATATAAGTACTGTTTCTGCAATACAGACACATTCATCTTTAAAGGCACAGTGTTCTGAGCCTGCCACCTAAATAAGAGTCTCCAAGTAGTCCTAATGCCTATGGAATTCACATCATCCTAGGGATGCGCGCTGAGACTGTGCTCCCTCCCATGTTTGGAGACAGGGCCTCTCACTGAATCTGGAGCTTTCCAATGTGCCTAGACTGGCTGGCCAGCAAGCCCAGGGATCTTCTCATCTCTGCCCCCCAACCCCTAAATACTGGGGTTACAGTGCTCAGTACCATGCCTAGCTTTGGGGTAATGCCAGGAGTCTGGAGTCAGGTCCTCATGCTGGCACACCATCTCTTTACTGACCACCCTCTCTCCAACCTGCAGTGTGTTTAAGTTATAATAGCCAACTACTATAAATGTATATGAAGTGAAAAGTTACCCAGAAAATTCATGGATCATAGCTTTGCCTATATTAAGAAAAATATTCATTTTTAATTTCAGTATGAAAATAACACTATAAATTTTATTATGTATAAATAAGAACGTAACCTGGCTTCTTTTACACAGTACAGTAGATTCAGTTACAGAAAGATATGTTTTGGTTTTAGTAAGAATTTATGATTAAATGATAGATTTTGGGTTTTAAAGCAATTGTATGATTACAAACATGGCCATGAAATGCAAATGCAGCTCCAGTTATACAGAGGCCTGGCTGCACTGTGGTAGAGCAATCGCTGCTGAACCCTATGACGTGCCACTGGCTGGAGGAGTGTGTAATTAGCCCTTAACATACCCCTACAGATAAGTGGAGGAAAAAAAGCAGTGTGGTGGGACTCGGGTGTTCTGACCTTCAAATTCTCAACATGCAACAATGTTAGTGCCTATGATAGACTAGCATCATCCCTAGGGTGATCACCTAATATTGAAATACATATTGAGAACACAGACAATGCTGGTCCTTGGGAAGTCTGAATTCAGTGAGAGATACAAAGGCAAAAGACACCATTACTAAGTACAGGATCAGAAGGGGCCGAGAGTACTTGAGTGAACTAGGTAGTCGTGCTGATGCCTGAGAGTCTGGTGTGTTTGGAAAAGGGAGGCAGGCTCCAGCTTTCAGTGCCGTGGTTATGTGAGATCTAATCACAGTGGTGGTAAGAGACAGATACACAACTCCCCGGGGAAGAGCCCTGGCTGAGTCCCATCTGATGCCAACAAAATAATTGTATGCAAAAGATTAACCCCACTTAGCAAGTGGGTAAACTGTGTGTTAGAGTGACCCGCCCAGAGGGCAGGACTGGTGGTAATCCAGCCAGCACTAAAAGCTGGGTTTTCTGACCACCTGTCCAATACCTTTGTTCACAGGTGCAGAGGAGAGCCCTCTGCTTCTCACCATGCATCAGACAGTGAGAGGTCACCACTGTCATGGTCTCTGCTATTACTATTAATTGGAGCCATGATGTCTCTTGAAAGATTAAATGAAGCTCCATGTGCAAAAAATGCTTTTAAGGTTCTAAGATCAATTTTAGTTTTTCTTTCTGTGAATTATTTTCCTTTTCTTTTCTTAGATGGATCATTTTAATGCCAAGCTGTCATTTAAAGTAATTATTACTTTTTGAATATTAGAAATGAGCTATAAAATAAAAACCATTATGATTAAACATGAGAAAGGACTGAGGAAAGAAAAGGGAGATGTGGAGTCCAATGATTCAGAGAACATTATTTCTCAGCAGAGGCAAGAAGTTAAAAATCAAGAGAGCAAAGAGGTAGAAGCCTTGCAGGAAGGGCAAACATGGCAGAAACTGAGCCGGAGTAGAGGTGAGAAAATGCCAAAAAAAATATTTTTTTTTCAAACAAAACCCTTAGGCTATTGGACAAAAACCAACATGAAAGAAGAAAATGCACCAAGAATCAGGTGTCTGACACAGTAACCTAGAGAGCTGGTGGAATTACCAGCAGCCTGACAGAGGCTGAAAGGTGAGCGGCTTTCTTTGCCTAGTGTTGGGTCTAAGGTGGCAGCATGCTTCTCATGAGTGGAAAGGGTCTCAGAGATAAGAGACAAGTTTGGATGTGCGTGCTACAGAGAGCTATTTGTTCAATATGATGACCTCCAAAGCAAGAGCAACTAAAATACAGCCACCCTGAACTAGCATGTGCTAAAAGTAAAAACACACTAAAATTTAGGGAAAAACTGGGAGGTTTCTTTGTTTTAGGTAGAATCCTTTTTACAGCACAGGGAAGGCTTGAACTCACAATCCTTCTACCCCATTCTCCAAGTGTTGTCATTGCAAGAATGCACCACCATATCCTGGACATGGTTTTGAAGATTTTGTGTGGAAAGGATGAGTAAAATTCCTTATCTTTTTGTGTCGGTTGCATGTGGATGTAACACTTGCCTAGAATAGGTTAAATGCTAACATTGCTTGCCAGAGTCTCTGCTTTTTCAAGTGTGCCTACTAGAAACTGAAAGCCATGCATAAGCTTTATATATTTCTATTAGACTCATAAAGTACATGATCTTATTTATTCCTCCCCCCAATTTTATAATATCGTATCTTGAAACAGTCACTATTGCTCTAGCTGGTCCTGTGGCTAAGCCAGGCTGGTCTCAATCTCCAGGCCCTCCTACTTTGGTTTCCCACATACTAGAAACACATGCATGCACTTCAATGTCCTGCCATAGTATCACTTTCTATGGAAGAAAATCCTGACATCACATAGTTAAATGTGGAGCTGAGATTCGAACTCATGAATGACACCAGATCACATCAACTTCAAAACAAGTCATGCTCTTACATCACCAAACAGCTAGATTTCAGATTTTAAACAGCAAAAGTAATGATTTATTAGAATAACCTTGTCAGAATTAGTGATGGCCTAATCTTATTATTCATAATTAAAAACAAAAATAGGTAAATGTGTGACTTCCGAGGTGTGATGAATTACCAATGATGTTCACACAGTTTCACTCTCCTGGGCTAACAAAGTCTCCACGGCAACTTCATTCCTTAGTGAGCACCTGCTCATAGCAATTGCACACCCTCCAACAAGTTAGACGGCCCATGTCTGATTGCCCAGCAGAGGAAACCCATCATCAACATAACCCAGAACAGAAGGACCCTGCTTTCTGAGCACAACTCAAATACATGGCACAGATGAGCTTAACACATTTCCAGCAATCTTCCAAACCACAATGCATTTCATTCAACCCTTTACCAAAGAATCAAAATGTTGAGCTTACCCAGTTGGATAATTTAAAAATACATTGTGTCTGGTATGGTGGTTCCATCCTGTAACCCTAGCACTCAGGAGGTGGAGGCAGGAGGACTGAGATCTTGAAGCTAGCCTGAACTAAGAGATTCTGTCTCAAAAAAAAAAAAAAATTCAAGAAGCAAAATCTTATTTTCTTACTTTCTGCTAGAATTCTAACAGTAAAATCTCCTGCAATGCAAACTGAAATAAAAAATGAAGCATCATTAATTTATGTTTAGTTCATGGGTTTAATTGCGAAAACAAAGCTGCAGCTTCTACTACCTGGACAAGACTAGCTGAGGACCACCAGCTGTTTAATCTTAACTCCGTTATGTTCAAATCTTCTCATGCCAATGCCACTGGCAGTTTGTCTCTGATTATGATAAACACACTTTCCTAGACCAACGGCAGATCACCGGCATACATTTACACTGTGCAAATGAGGGGAAAGGAGCTTGAATAGCATTCTTTGCAGTAAGACTGATTGGCAGAGACATCTTTGGCTTGGATGTATAAGCGTCTATCAACTGACCCACTTACTTATGAACGCTACCCCCACCCTTTCCCCTCTACCCCATTTCTCAGAAGTGAAACTGCTCGATTTGGACACAGATTTGAAAATGCCCATTGAAAAGGGGCTCAAACAATACAGAAACAAAGATTTTTAAGACTTTTCCTTGACGTTGGCCCAATGACTGCTTCATTGAGTTCAATATTCCTGGAAGCTTTCCCTAACTAAAACCTATATACTTTGGAACAAAGGTTCAGAACCGAGGGGGGGGGGGTTAGCACTAAAAATGCTCTCTCCACTCAGAAGACTCAAGTGGCAGAGGCGGTCACCAATATTCTAATCGGTGAGTGTCTCCTGTCCAACAGCAGAGTGTGTCTCCCTTTAGATTCTTATCACCTCTGTCAAGTGAACAGTTCTTGTAGTGATTCACTTCAAGGACGCTACTGTCTCCCGCTTAGCAAAGCACAAAGTACTTTGCTGATTTTGTTTGTTTGCTTGCTTGTTTTTGTTTTAAATAAATGGTGTGTGCCACGAACTGTTGACAAAGACTGTTCACCAAAAACTTGCATTTTAGTGAGGGAGACATTCAATACACTAAATAAAGCAACAGATTATACCATGCTTAATAGAGAAAATGAAGGAGGTACGGAGAATAAGTGACGGGTGTGCCGGATTTTTAGTGCTAAGGCTTGACCATTCAATCAAGTAGAGAGTATGCGGGAGGAAGGGGACAATCTAGGGCTGACTGGTATCAGGTGGGGCAAGAAAAGCGGACAGGCGCTTCACAAATTTAGCAAACCCTGAGGTGGAGGCGAAAAGACAAAGACCAATGAAGACAAATGCGGATTTGAAGACAAACACAGGATTTACGGACTTCTTTTCTTTAGCGGGGAGGTGGTTTTTTTGAGACAGGGTGTCTCACCGTGGCCCAGGCTGGCCTCGAACTCGCGGCAATCCTCCTGCCTCAGCTTCCCTAGGGATGGGGTCGCTGCCTGCCCTGGACCGGCTCCCTCCGAGCCCAGCAGCACACAATCTCCGTCTTTGTGCCCAGGCGCCTGGCTTCGCGGGAGACCCTCGGCGAGCGGCTCGGGGAGAGCGTTGGGCCGCGGCTGCAGCGCCGACACGCCCCCGCGCCCCGTTACCCGCCGGGCGCCCGAGACCCCGCGCTCGCACACACCCCCCCTCGGGCCCCAACGTCCGCCGCCCGCCCGGACGAGGCGCGCGGCCCCACTCACTCACCATGGCCGCGCGGCCGCGATGCGCTGTCCAGGGTAGCCGCCTTCCTCTGCGCCACGCCGCGCGCCGCCCGCGCTAGTCACTCGCCCCCGCCCCCGTCCCCGCGCGCCGCCCGCCTCTCCGCCCCCTCGGGCGCGCGCCGCGCCCTGCCCGCTCCGGGCCGTTTCCTCCGCCCCGCGCCGCTCGCCCTCCGGGGGGACCACGCGGGGGAGGAGCCCGGGCACGGGCAGCGAGACCGTGGCCCCAGAGGCCTGCGCGGCCCCGCTCCGCGCGCGCCCCCGCCGACGCGGCGCCCCCTGCCGACCGGGCGGGGATTTGCAAGTCCAGCTAGCGTCATTGGCTTGTGCTTAGGCGCATCTTGGACCAGGCCCCTGGAGGAGCCACCTGCAGTTCCTCCACTCTCCATGACCGGGTCTCCGAGGAGGGGCAGGGCGAGGCTAAGCGTAAATGCCAGGTGATTTAAATTGGGCACGCAGGTTTGCCCGATACAGAGGACTAGTGGGGTGCACGGCTGCAATCCCAGCACGTGGGGAGCAGAGACAGGAGGCGTGGGAAAGAGTTCAAGGCCGGCCTTAGCTTCTTAGTTCAGCACCGGGCTGAACTTCATGAGACCCTGTTTCAAATAAGTAAATAAAAAAAGACAAATGATAAGTCGTATACTTTTTGGGTGTCATCAGGATATTGGCACCAATATTCATTCTAAACTGGCCTTTTCAGAAGATCTTACTTCAGTGTCGGGGGCTCAGGCGGCTTATTCAGTGCTTCGTTAATAGTGAATAGAATTAGATCCCAGGCCTTTGTGCATCACATGACCGCTTTTCATTTTTGACTTCAGAATGAGCTCGCACTTTTCTTTGATGGCTGATGTGATAAACTTGAAACACATGCACAGGTGTTAGGTACCTCTTTCGGCAAAGAGGTGGTGATCATAAAAATGCTAAGAATCCTAAGCCTGACCACCAGAACCTGAATTTCTCATCAACAACTTGTTTTCCTCTGCTCTGAGCAGCCTGCAGCTGCTCTGAGCACAAGACCCTGATGGCAGGGCAGTGGATTCTGATGAGTCTGCAGCTGAAAGATCCCGAGAGCTGGGGCGTGGCCAGAGCCCTATAGAAGCTGCCCCTGAGCACAATAAAGAGGGCGTTCTTGGCGCTCTTGTATCAACGATGTTCCCGTGGCCCTGTCTGTCTCTGTCTGTATGTGTGTGTTTTTAAATTTTCAGCCTAGTTCCCATAGCTCGCGGCGAGTAGAGCGCAGAACGGAACAGGTGTAGTTTTACACCAGTCCTTTTTCTTTGTATATTTTATGTTTCCCGTATGGAAAGTGCATCTGAGAGAAGTCAGAGGACTGGCAGCTAATAGTGACAGCACAAAACCACAAGTCCCCGAAATCTTGAACCAGTATTCATGTGCTCGCCATGGCCACCCAGTACCCGCCATGATCAGAAGTGGGAAGTATAGGCAGTGGCGGGCATCCTGTGTGTGTGTGCGCGCGCGTGCGTGTTATCTGAAGATCTCTTCTTTCGACACCTCCTGTGATGGTTCATCTTTACCGTCAGTTTGACAGGATTTAGAACCAACTAGGAGACACAGCCCTGGGCATGTCTGTGAAGATGCTTCCAGAGAGTTTCCAATGAGGTGGAAAGACAAACTCTGAATGTGGACTGAACCATCACATGGATGTAGAGAAAGTGATCTAAAGACTAATATTTGTTTTCCCCTGCTTCCTAACTGTGCACATAATGAGATCAACTGCCTCACAATCTCACTACCATGATTTTTCAACCATGATGAACCATGAGCCAAAGTAAACCTTTGGTTCCTGTCTTACTTGGGGTTTCTATTGTTGTGATAAAACTCCATAGCCATTATCAACTGGGGGGGGGGGGTTTATTTTGCTTACAATTCCTTGTCACAGTCCACCATCAAAGGCAATCAGGACAGAAACCTGGAGTCAGGAACCGAAGCAGAAGCCACATGGGTGTGTTGCTTACTGACCGACTTCTCATGTTTGTTCAGCCTGCTTCCATACAGCGGTTAGGACCACTACCCCAGGGTTGGTACTACCCAAAGGGAGATGGATGTTTGTACCACAATCATCAGTCAATAAAGGAAATGCCCATAGGCTTGCTGCAGCCTAGTCTGGTGGGGGCATGTTCTCAATTGAGGTTTCTTCTTCCCAAAGGACTCAAGTTTATGCCAATCTGACATAAAACCAACCAGCACAGAGGTAAATAAAATGAGATTGGTCTCGGTGTAAGTAATTAACATTTCTATTGTCCAATAAATTAGTGAAGATAAAGATGAAAAATGCAATGGTGTTCAATGGTTTGAAAAGCCTTGGTGGTTTGCCACAGGAACCACGATAAAAATACATCACATACTGTTGTAGTATATTATTTTAAGGTGTGTTACTTTTGTTTATACCGTGGAACATTTGTTTAATCATGTAAAGATGTGTTGCTTTTGTTTATGCTAACTTTGTTTAACTCTGTGAGGCTGTGATTCTTTGCCTGTCTAAAACACCTGAAGGTCTAATAAAGAGCTGCATGGCCAATAGTGAGGCAGGAGCAAGGATAGGCAGGGCTGGCTGGCAGAGGGTATAAATAGAAGGAGAAACGAAAGAGAGGAGCAAGATAAAACAAGGACAGGAGGGCATCAGGCCAGTAGCCTGCCACACAGCCAGCCACCAGAGTAAGAGTGAAAGTATGGTATACAGAAATAGAGAAAGATAAAAGCCCAGAGGCAAATGGTAGAAGAGATAAGATGAGAAAAGCTGGTAAGAAACAAGCTAAAGTCAGGCATTTATACTTAAGAATAAGTCTGCTTGTTTCTGATTTATTTGGGAGCTGGGTGGCAGGCCCCATAATAACAAAGAGCCAAAAGGGCAAAAGAGTAAAAAACCAAACAACTACATTTTGACGTACCAACATGAGGCTCAAATTTCCACGAAGAGCCCAAGAAAGCTTAAAAAACAAGAACAAAAACCCGATATTGCTCCTTTAAGAAACCCTGCTATACAGCAGAGCTCCTCAAGTAAATGCTTTGTTATAAGAGTTGCCGTGGTCATGGCATCTCTTCACAGCAATAGAAACCCTAAGACACCATCTTCAAGGATTGGCAACTTATGACTAACCTTGTATTATCTAGATCTCCATCTACTTCCCTTGCATTATTTGAAGCAAAAAAAAGATATAATATCTTAACTGTAAGTATTTTAGTATGTCCCGAAAGATAAAAATAATTTTTACAAAATCACAGTTAAAATAATACTATGCGATGTCTTAAAAATTGGTCATAACTGCTTAACGTCATTAAACATAGACTAGGCACGCACAACTTTCCAGTTACTTTATGTCCCCTTTCCTCATGCTGCTTTCAGTTTTTCTGTTTCCAAATCTCTTTTAACCTCATTTCTCCTCATCCGTCTCTTCATTTTCTTCTCAGTGGATAAGCTATCAATGCAATCATCTGGACTAAAGAGTGTCCAGCAGTTTGGATTTTGTTGCCAGCATCTTACTCATATGAGCTCATGAGCTCGGTGATTTTTGGCATAGCTATTATAACAAAAGTTTGGTCAGGCTCAGGTTAGGTTTTTGACAGGAGTTCTTGATGAGGTAGTGCCCCCCCCCCCCATCAGGAAAGTAAAAAACAAAAACAACGAACCAACCAACCAAACATTACAAACCAAAAACCTGATTGTCACGCTTCTTGTGTTTAGGTAACAGTAAATGGCCACACTACTGACTCCTTAGTGCTACAACTGAAGTATTCTATTAGCCCTACACTCCTTTTCCATGTGCTAGCTAGGATTCTTGGAAAAGAAACACCTTCTCATATACCCTTCAGTGACCTAAGGAATACAATGTGTGTAGGAACACAAGGTAAGTGCCAGGTATAAAATGAAAAGTGGATTTACTAATTGCAAAAAATGTGAATGGCAAGTCCAAAACTGAGCTGTGAAGGCAGTCCAAGGATAAAGAGTTTTCATCCTAGCTGGGAGTGGTGGCATGCCTGAAATCCCAGCCTTTGAGACGCTAAGGCAAGAAGATCACCGGTTTGGGACTAATTGGTGATTGCATAGCAAGATTCTGCCTCAGAAGAGAAAAAAAATAGAGAAGAATAAATAGTATTTGGAAATACTTGCCCATATCAACACTGCCACGTCAGCTGCCGTTGCTCAACTTGTTTTCACTCCTTTTCTGATCGTTCCGAAAACAGAGTGACTCTTTCAATGAATGCGTGAGGAAAACCCCAGAAGAGCTCACGTGTGCAGTGCTTCTAAAGGGGACGGGTCAGAATGCGGGAGAGTCCGTCATGAAGAGGGCTTTATTTATTTTAGTTTTTAATGAAATCTTGGGCTGCCTCTCTCTCTAAAGCATGTGGATGATAGAACTCCTGGAACAAAATACAATCTAACATCAAAGCAAAATTAGTTCTGCTACAGGGAAATTTGTAATGGATTTTTCAGATGCTTTAGGTTAGTTTCATAGACATGGTCTTTGTTATTTCTGTTCACCCCATGCCACCCAAGGTTACTATGACAGTCTAAAAATTGGGCTCAGAGATCTTCCAAAACTATACTAATTTTTATTTATTATTAGAAATATAGTTCCTTAAAAAACCCTACTAACTCAATGATGCCATTTACATGGATGAGATGAAATAAATGTGGCTATTCCTCCTTCAAGGTCTGCATGATACAGAAAGGACACATTTACAGACAATAGCTGGATGCATGCCTCCAGTTATCACAATGACATGAGATGTGCATTAAACAGTTAAGTCACACAAAAGCAAAAATTACTGTCTGAGTTATTAAGCACATTTGTAGTTTGTGTTTTCCAAGCTTCAACACTCTCTCAAATGTAGTACCAGCAGTGAGGAAACCAGTGCCACCCGGCGCCTAGAGGGCCTGCCCAGGTCTGGCAATAGCTGTAATTCACTGTGCAAGAGACTACATTCTAGGAAGCGCACATATATGAAGGTTAGCTAGCAAGTGTGGGGCCAAGTCATCAATTCTGTTCCTGGCCCTTTGATGTTCATATACCTCGTAGGTATCTGTCTC